AAACCCTAAACCCTACAGCCTAAACGCTAACCTCCTGGACCCCTGGGACCCAAGCCCTCAACCATCAGAGGTCCCAGGCGTTCGCGGTTTTGTTCTAAGGTTCAGGGATGGGCTTTAGGTTTTGAGGTTTAGGGCTCAGGGTTTAGGGTTTAGGGTTTAGGGTTTAGGGTTTAGGGTTTAGGGTTTAGGGCTTAGGGTTTAGGGTTTAGGGTTTAGGGTGTAGGGCTATTTTGGAGCTCGTAGCGATGTGCTGGGTGTGCACCAGCCACTGGCCCCAAGCGTTGTTTGATTTTGTATTTGTTGGCCTTGTTGCGGGTCCCTCGCCCCCACTTTCGTGGTTTTTCGGGCTGGAAGCCTGTGGGATTGTAAAGCACGCACAGAACCGCGAACACCTGACTCAAAGGCAGATAACTTGGAGGGTCGGGAGACTTAGTAAGTAGGTGATAAGTAGACTTATAGGTCCCTTTTAAGTTGTGGTTATAGTACTTATGAGTCTACAAAATAACCATTTACTAAGTCCCCCGACCCTCCAAGTACAGGGACCTGACAGGAACCCTAAACCCTAAACCCTAAACCCTAAACCCTAAACCAGGGAAGGCTGGAATTGGAAGTCAACGGGGTGCCGACCGTTCGCCACGCAAACCTCGAAACGAAAATCGCGAAGTTGCAGCATGAGGGTTCCTTAGGGTTTAGGGTTTAGGGTTTAGGGTTTAGGGTTTAGGGTTCCTTAGTAGTTACCTATACTATTTTTGGGGGGATCTTTGTTATAATTGCAGCATAATGGGCTCCGAAACCCAGGTTTACGGCTCCAGGTTTTGAGGGCTTGGGGTTTAGACTGCAGGTCTCGGGTTGGGGCTTGGGGTTTAGGGCGAAATCGCTAGAGCCGAAAGTATAGCGAGATGAAAACGCGATGTTGTAACCTCTTAAAACCTATGAAGGCCCAACAAAACCCCTATGAACCCTTGTACAAAACCTGACAGCGAGAAGCATCCTAAGCCCCAAACCCTGAACCCGCTGAACTCCCACACCCCCAAGATACAATAGGGGCCCTGATAATAAGAAGAGGGATTGGGGTGGCAATCATCCTGAAAGATTGCATTGGGACTAGAAGGGGATGCGATTACTAATTTTTTAGTTTTCCTACACCCTTGTAGAGCTCTCAGTAAAAAAAACTTATAGAACCTTAAAAATTGCCATCGAAAGGCATCCTCCTCCTCTGCTGCATGGCCGCGCCGCTCGTCACGGTCCGTCTCTGTGTCGCGGCCTCTTTTGCTTTAAGGACCATGAGACTTAGTAACTAGGACTATGAAGGAGGTACGTACCTCGATGTATGGTTCCTTGTATCCCGAACTAAAGTACTTGAGGCCTCACTTGCGAAGTGCCCGAATGCCTCGTGGCAGGGCTTTTCTTTAAGGGACTTCATAGCTGCCTTTGTCGTGTCGAAAGGGTATTGTGGGTTTAGTATAGCAATATAGGTACTATCAGGAGAGTACTACTACAGTACTGATTGTTCGTCAACCCTGAAAGAAGCCTCATAGAACCCTCCATTTTATAACCTTTTTGAAACCTTATGAATGCGGATCCGAGGGCTCAGGGTTCAGGGTTTCGGGCACAGGACGGTCCCACGCTCAGGGGTTGTTGATCTGCAGTTGCCATCTTTGCCCACCCGCATCAGTCGGTCCTTTTAGGGTTTAGGGTTTAGGCCAGAAACATCGAGAGGTGGGGTCTACATTAGGGCTTGTAGGGTTGTTTCTGGGGCTGTTGGTTTAGGACAGGATGGGCTGCCCTGGCAACTTCGCTGCCGAGGGGCATGTCAGAAAGCTCGAAATCGCTTGAAAACAAATCCGCATGAGACGAGCACTCTGCTGAGCCATGCGCAAAATCTGTACATGATTCACTAGAAACCGAAATTTAAAAGTGGGAGCCTCAAGAAATCAGTTCGAAAGGCCCGTTGCAACTGCAACCGTGTGTAAAAACGCTACTCAGTTCCTTCTTACGGCAGCCAGTCTTCGTCAAGAACAAGCTGCAGAACCCGAAAAGGTGTTAGGGTTTAGGGTTTGGGGTTTAGGGTTTAGGGTTTAGGGTTTAGGGTTTAGGGCCGTTGCAGAACCCTTATACAACCCTCGTGACACGTGTACTAGAAGCTATCAGACAAACTCAACCCTAAACCAAGCGCCGTAACACCCTCCAGTTTTCGCACGCCCACTCATAAAACTAAACAAGACAGAACCCCTAAACCCTAAACCCTAAACCCTATAATAGAACCCGCCTAAGCCCTGAAAACCAGACTTGTGGAAGCCCTGATGAAACAAAGGCCCAAAACCCTGGCACCTCCGGGCTCATACGAGACGGGTTTAGGGTTTAGGGTTTAGGGTTTAGGGTTTAGGGTTTAGGGTGTCTAAATAAACTGTTGGGGTTTAGAGTTTAGGGTAACCCACTTCTAACAAGTATACTACCTTGTCACTTGGCGACTTATATTTGGAATAAGGGCCGCCAACCTAAAAAAACAAACACCTTAACCCGAAATCCTAAATTCCGAAGCCCTAAACTCTAAACCCCAAGCCCTGGACTCAATAAAACTCTAAAGTCTCTCAGCCCGAATGTAGAGGCCTGAATAATTAGACTATGGTTTTGGGGGGGTATATTATACTATAAGTATAATAAGGAACCCTAACAGTAATATTGATAATTATTTAGGCTTCTATATTACCCTTCTTGGGGCTCCTGTCAGACAGACTCAGGCATTTCAGACTCCGGCTGTTCCTGACCCTCTGCGGGCACTTCGAAGCTGGGATCGTAGTAGTCAGGCACCTCGGGGTGGCCCGGTTTAGGGTTTAGGGTTTAGGGTCCCCCCTTCAAGAACAAGATACCACCAACAAAACGTAGGAACACCAAGAAACCGTTTGGGAGGCTTTAGACAGGCTTCTTATGAGGGTGTTCCGATGGCTTTCTGCTTCTATGCGCGCCTGATGGCGGTGGTTTCTACAGGTCTTTGATCTTCTCTGTATCAGGGGTGCTTTAAGAAGGTTCTAAAGGGGTTCTATAGGGGCTTGAGTTTAGGGTTAAGGGTTTAGGGTTTAGGGTTGAGGGTTTAGGGTTTAGGGTTTTAGGGTTTAGGGTTTAGGGTTTCGGGTTTAGGGTTTAGGCAAAGAACCAAACTAGAAACGAAGGTTCGAGGTTTGGTGCCGTGGTTTTTGGGGAAAATCTGTGGGATAGCATGTCGAACTAAGGGTTCAGAGTGCGTGCAGAACCTTCAGGGTTTAAGGCTTCAGAAGTGGCAATTTTCAGCTTCAGTCCCTAAACCCTAAACCCTAAACCCTAAACCCTAAACCCTAAACCCTAAACCCTTTTCCCTTTTCAGCTTCAGTGTGGGCCCCAGGGAGTAGGCTGCAGGCTTTCGGGTTTTGGGCTTCAGACGCCGTCAGGTGTAGGATAAAGGGTCAGGGGACTTCGTAAGCTGGTTTATAAGAAGGCTCAACATAGTTTAGGGTTTAGGGTTTAGGGTTTAGGGTTTAGGGTTTAGGGTTTAGGGTTTAGGGTTTAGGGTTTAGGGTTGTACTTACTTATGACCCTCATCAAATTACATGTCATCCTACTCGCTGGTCATTATGCCCATCTGACACTCAGAAAGCCCCGACACCCCTTTAAAGGTATGATACTTAAACCAAACATACAACATCTTAAACTCTGAACCTTTTCTCGAAAAGCCTAACCAATATCTAGCAAGTACATTGAGGGTGAAACTAAACGGCCCAAAGCCATTCATCCCAAATCCTAAACCCTAAACCCTTGCTAGGTACAAAATCCTAAACCATAAACCCTAAGCGCCAAATCCTAAAGCCTTATAGGTCCCTGTAAAGGAACCCTTATAAATCCCTTTAAAGGAACCTTCATGGATCCCTTTAAGAGAACCTTATGGATCCGTTTAAAGGAACCCCTAGGGAGCCCCTTAACCCTAAACCCTAAATCCTAAACCCTAAACCCTAAACCCTAAACCCTAAACCCTAAACCCTAAATCCTGAACCCCTCTAAACCCTAAACCCTAGGGAACCCCTTTTTAGGGTCACCTAACCTCCCCTCCGCGCTGCCTCCGACTCCTCAGGAGCCTGCGGGGCCTCGGTCTGATCCTCTTCTTGCGCCGGCCTTGGGATGAGGAATCAGGGCTTTGGGTTTAGGGTTTAGGGTTTAGGGTTTAGGGTTTAGGGTTTAGGGTTTAGGCTTTGTTTCAGGGGTTGGTTCCTTTAAAGGGATCCTTTAAAGGGCTCTATAAGGGAATCTGGAAGGGTTTAGGCCTGGGGATTTCGAATACTTGACATCTGCTTAAGGCTCAGGGTTCAAGGTTTAGGATTTGGAATTTTGGTTTTGCTTTAAGGCACCCTTTTGCCGGCTGCAGATCCGGAAAGCCCCAGAAGACAGGTCGGATTAGAGGGTTTACAGATCAAGGCTTTTTGGTTTGGGGTTGAGAGTCTGGGGTTCAGGGTTTTGGGGTTTTGGGCTCAGGCCATAGGATTCAAGTTTCAGGGTTTAGGGTTTGGTGTGTTAGAGCATTGCTGCACGAACCAGGCTCCCTGCATAATTGCAGTCTTGATTGGAGCTTGTCCTAGGCCCTGAACCTTAAAACAACTCGGAACGGTAATAGGGGTGCAAGAACCCAGACTACCTGGAAGCCCGTCTTCTTACACTTACCCAGACCTTCCAAGATCCCTTAATTCAGGATTACTTTAACTCATAGTCGTACTTGGGAACCTACTAGACTAGATGTTAACATATGTTCATGATTTTTTGAATATCGGAAGGTTTGGGGAAATATTATAAGACGTCAAACCCTTTCTAAATTGTTTGCAACATCCTCGAGCTTTCCCTAAACCCTAAACCCTAAACCCTAAGCCCTAAACCCTAAACCCTAAACAGTCCAAGATGCATGGACATCCTTGCCTTCGCCATGGTCTTGTGATACGCGGGCTTTTTGCCTGGACTCCGGGGAGCCCACACGCTTTAGGGTTTAGGGTTTAGGGTTTAGGGTTTAGGGTTTAGGGCTTAGGGTTTAGGGTCTAGGGTTTAGGGTTTAGGGTTTAGGGTTCCGTGAGCCCACACGCCCTCTCTGTAGGGGCCTTGATAATTAGGCTTCTGGGGTATAGTCTACTATAGCCTTAGAAAGGAACCCTGAAAAAAATATTGGCAATTATTCAGGCCCCTATATTAAACCCCAAACTCTGCACCAGAAAACCCTACAGTCGAAGCCCCGAAGCTGAAACTCCAAACGCACGCGACACACTAAGCTTTGAATTCCGAAGCCGAAAAAGGGCTTCCTGCCTGGGCCCTTCTTGCTTTTGCCGTGACCGGGCTTCTTGCCGGGTTTCTTTCCCGGATACTTCTTGTCCTTCGTGTGGCCGAGCTTCTTTCCCGGAGACTTCTTGTCCTTCTTGTCCTTCGTGTGACCGAGCTTCTTGCCTGGATTCGTGATGTCAACGTCAGGCTTCTTTCCCGGAGACTTCTTGTCCTTCTTGTCCTTCGTGTGACCGAGCTTCTTGCCTGGATTCGTCTTTCCCGGAGACTTTTCGTCCTTCGAATTACCAGGCTTCTTGCTTGGAATCGTGATTTTGTAGCTTGGATCTGGCGTCTTCTTCACTGGGTGCTTCTTGTCCTTCGTGTGACTGGGCTTCCCGCCGCCAGGCTTCTGGAGCAGCGCTGCGTCTTCGTGCTCAGTGCAGGATCCTGCTTGGCAGTCTTCTGCGAACTCAGGCGAGAGGTCCTGGGCCGCAGATTGACATTCAGGGTACCCGAGACGCTTCTACGAATAGGTACCTCTATACGACAAGGAAGGAAAGGCAAGCGTATCCTAAAGTGTCACCCGGAGTCCACAGCTTCTTGGCCCCATACTGCCAAGACCCAGGCGCCTCAGCGAGAGATCGAGGCTTCAGTGAGTGAAGCCACAACGGGCTGCTTGCGATTTCCACCTTTGATCCCCTTTCTGCCTGGTGCTTAGTAGGGAATGAGGGAATGGATCCCTATGATAGTCCCTCATAAGGTCCCTTACAGTACCATTCCCCCATTCCCTACTAAGCAAAAAGACAGCTTTATGTATACCATTTGCCAAAACCCGCTTGACTTCCCATCATTGGGGGCTTGAGGCGAGGTAGTGGAGACCTGAACCGAAGACTATTGCGTCAAACTTTTCTGACTGTAAACATGCTCCCGTCGGTCCCCGGAAAAGGGAAACGGGCCGGTTGGTTCAAGGGATTCCACTGAGCGTACCTCAACTGGCCCTAAGCCACGGATTAAACCGGTCCAAACCGTACAAGGAGGCAAGCTACCTACGCCACTCAGCGCTGAAGCAGAGGCTGACAGGGGTCAGACAGCCTGGAATAAGTATGGAACTCCCAAAGCAGAACCGGCCGTCGTTCTAGCCCCGTCGGACGACGAGCGACTGCCCATCGCCGTTACTCCGACAACGAGCACAACATGTGGGCCAACTCACAAAAAGTGGAATCCGGTGTAAGCGCAATGTGTTTCTGGGCGGGTCGGTTCACAACCATGTCGTAACCCTAAACCCTAAACCCTGAACCCTCAACCCTAAACCCTAAACCCTAAACCCTAAACCCTAGACCCTAGACCCTAAACCCTAAACCCTAAACCCTAAACCCGAGTCAATCCAGACATGAACACGGCAGAAAGCGAGGCTCATCTGGAGAGCATTGCATCCCGGTGCGCTCTACGACTAGGGTTTAGGGTTTAGGGTTTAGGGTTTAGGGTTTAGGGTTTAGGGTTTAGGGTTCAGGGTTTAGGGTTTGTCGAAGGAAACAGCGTCTGAGTCATTAGACTCGGTTTTCTGGGTTTCTAGACCATAGCTCTGTTCGGGATCCCGATCGATTCCTAGTTCTTTCGAGCCCGGCAAAATAAGACCCCTTTCAATCCTCTCTGGAGTCAAAATAAACTCTCATGAAACCTCCAATCACAGACTTATTATTCCGAACCCCTTCATTTCAGCACTTTTAGGCTCCGGATCATAGAGCTTCGGGCCAGGGCACAGAGAAGCACGGCGCGCCGCTGCATGGCCAAAATCCGGGGGGGGGGGGGGGGG